TGTCTGTTACCAACACTGGAGGAAATGAAGCTAGAGAATTCCAGCTTTTCACTTGTGAGTTAGAGGAAAGCAAAAAAGATACTCAGGAATAGGTGTGAACTCAGCCAACCCAACTCAGGAAACTGGGCTACAACTAATGCATTTGAAATGAAGTATTTGAAATGAAATTAAAAATCTCCCAGCATGTCCTTAACTGTTTTAGAGCAGCATGTGTGGTGATAATGAGAACCTGTACATTAAATGCCAGGAAAGTAGTGTATTTATTTGTATTATTGGGTTGGTGTTAACTGCTCTATGGGAAATATCTGAAGAAAGCAATTCTACAACTTAACCCCATTGATTACAGCATATTTCAACTTTTTAAATACTATCTAGCATAGAAATTAAAACCATGGTCTTTGAAGTCCAATAAACCTAGGTTCAAATTCCGAGTGTCACTTCTAAGCTGTATGTCTTTAGAGAAGAAATTAGTTCTGAACCTTGGTTACCTTTTCTATAAAACCCATATGTGTGAAGTAATAATTACAGCAGATAATTATGTAAAATATGCTGGTGGAATCTAGCAATTATGCACCCCTCCTTTTTTGGTGATTGATTTGTAGTTGAAAGAACTGCCCAGAAACTACATTTCCCAGTTCCCTTTTTGGCTAGGTATAACCATGTGACTAAGATTCAACCAATGGACTGCAAGCAAAATGACACTCCCTGGACTATAAAAGCTTACACATGCTCACACAGTCCTCTGCACTGATTTCCCCCTTTCTGCCAGCTGGAAGGGCCCCAGAAGGTACCTCATTTGATCACACAGATTACTATGAGCCTGTGTCCGGAATGCCAGGGATAACCAGCTTAGATTCTCCCCTGAAAAAAGTCAATTTTGTCATTTGTTCAGTAGCTTGACCATCTTAACACTCATCCCTAATACTTAGTAAGCTCTCAATAAATTATAACTACTCTCATATAATCAGGAAGTAGAAAATGTCATGAAATACTTCTTCCTTTGCAGTATTGTCCTTATTTGTGGTATTGATACAAAGAAGCCACTTAGTCCCTCTGTTTCCCAGGTCTAAAATTAATAAAGTTAACATTTTATAGAAACTATAATTTATTATTTAACATTTCCCAAAAGTGTTGAAAACCTAAGACTAAAGCCCAATAATTTAGTGAAAAAATTACAGTGTGGTAGTGAGTACTTACACAATTACCATGTTACTCATATAAAAGAATACTGCTGCTTACTGAAGAAATGCTAAGAATACACTAAGAAAAACGAAGGACTCAAACCCCAGGAGAGCTCTAATCAGATAGTTTCAAACAAAACTCTAGTGATTCAATCAGTGCCAAATTGACTTTAAGAAAATAGTAATTTAAGTAATCATAACTGAGTTTCATTTACGTGAAAATATTTGACATGCTCAAGGGTCAAATATTTTAAATCATAAAAATTAATAACCAGCTCCATAATAATGTGAGAATTTTGGATTTTGTACATCTTTCACTTGGTTGGTTTTTTGTTTTTTTTTTAATTCCTGAAGGCTTTCCTTTCTGTAAAAGAATTTACGTCATGTATGCCTTCTCTGTTTTGACCTCCACTATTACAACCAAGTAGGAAGAAGCTTTATAGAAAATGAGTCATTTATATATGCATACGTATTCCCGTTTTCCCCCGCACAATTGTAAATCTAAATTTAGCCCTCTGCTCCATCTCTCAGGAACATTTTAGTGCAATTCTAAAAGAGCTAACTTAAACTATCATGGATTATTTCCATGGAGAGTAGTTAGAGAGGGCATCTGATTTTTTTTTAAGTGTAGACACTTAGTGTTATAAAAGTCAATATACGAGTCTAATAGAATAAAAGAAGCATCTATTAAACACTTTACTATCCAATATGAATATCTTTTTCTTTAAAAAAAAAAAAGGAATTTAATCACAACTTCCTTGTTGTAAACAAGTATAATAATTCCCCAAGAAATGATCAGCAAAATGATTTTTCCCCCTTAGATCCCTAGAGATTTATATGTTCTTCCTGGAATACTTAGGATTAATTCTTAAATTTATAATCATGTTAATGTGACACAATTTTTCTACATTTCAATACTATGAAAATTAGATCAAATCACAATACAATCACCTATTTGTATAGCATTTACTAAGTATACAACACTGTGGAAACCTCCCCCCTCACTCCCCACCAAAAGAAAAAAAATAGGATGATGAAGTGGAGCAATGGGCAGGCAATTAAACGTCCTCATCAACCGCCTACTGCTCTCAGGAGGAAAAAAAGCTGAAGTTGATTGTTTCAATATCCAGGATCACAAAGCCAAGTCAGGAGAACACAGCTCCTCTCACTCCCAGTGCACTGCTCCTTGTGCCTCAAAATACAGCATTAAGTCATTCAACAAAAATATTGTTCAAATGGCTGCTATTTGCCATTCTGAGTGCTAAGCACTGGAGACATAAAATGAATTGGGAGATTTTTTAACTGCTTTAACAGCCCCGCTTTAACAGCTACTTAAACAGTTCTACTTTAAGCTCCAAATATCTTGCTGGGAGAAAATGGTCTTTGTTTGGGAAGATGCCTTGATAGAGGTTTGGTATAAAAACTAACAATTTAAAAGTCGTAGAATTGGTTTTGCCAAACCTCAGGAGAAGAAAAGTAGAACTGTATAAGAGGCTGTTCAGACTCAGCGGTTATAAGGAGGTGTGCAAATTCATTTGCTGCATTCTTCGTCACTGTAAAGAAACCGAAAACAACTTAGGAAAATTAGAATAGAAAATGAATTTATATAGCTGCCTTGTGAAGTACTAAGGAGAAGCTGAAAATAATGATTTTATTCAAGGCATATTACTAAGTGAAGAAGCGAGCTACGGAATAACAGCCATTTTATTATATCAGTTGTATTTAACATACTCCAAAATACTCTATGCTTTCTCAAGGAAACATTACATACCAAGAGCAGTTATGTAGAAGGTTATACACTCAGCAGATAGGAGCGTTCACACCATCTGGGAAGGAGACCTGGATTTCACATGCTAATCAAAAAGACTTTATCAATCACTTGAGAATTTTACCTTTTGCTAGAAGAATATATTTCTTTATTGCTTGTATAAGCAGACTTTGAATATTTTTAAAATAGTTTTAAAATTGAAAGAACTAATGAATCTAGATATTAATCCTAAACTTAAATATTATTTAAATAAATCAAACTTAGCACTTTATATATTTTAACATCACTGAAGTATTAGATGAATTTTTAGATCCGTAATAGAATAAGCAAGAATATTAATAAATATGAATGACTATCAAGAGAGGTGTTTCATACTGTTAAATTATCTTTCAAAATAAGTGTTTGAAAAAATTAATCTCATCTGTCTCTCACATTTTATTGATTTATTATATTTTCTAGAAGAATATATACATCCTCAAATGGCTTTGCCCACAAAAAGTATTAGCTACTGTTGATTTGGTGATTGTAGTAGCATGGAAATAAACACAGCATTGAATACTAGCTTTATAGCTTTAAGAAAGCACCGGACTCCAAAAAATGAATTAATACGCACCTCTGTGTAGATCAAGAACTTTATTCTTAGTCCTGGTCTTAAGTCTATAAGTCTTTAGGTGTTGACAAAAATCTTAAAGTTTTAATAAGAATTTTTGAGCTGTTTGATTTCCTTCTTCTTCATAATCTAGAATGCTACTGTTAGTCCCTTCTTTCTATGTAACAAAAATAGCTCTATCTCAAAAATCTTAAGTTTCTGCCACTTCACCACCATTTCTCTGAGTTTTGCCTGCACTCTTATCTTGATTCAAGTTTTAAGAATGGTGTGATTGAAATTCTCAGAGAATAATCTCAATGAACTACCTGTCAATATGGGGAACAGGAGATGGGGACTAGATAAAGTCCATTAAGATCTGAACTTGTGGGCCTCCCCAGTGGCTCAGCGGGTTGAGCGCAGCGCTGTGAAGCAGTCTGCAGCCTCTGCAGTGCGGGTTCAATCCCCAGCTGGCAAGGGGGAAACCCACATGGCGCGGCAGACCTCTCCTGTCTCGCCCACTGCTCCCCTCAGCAGTGTCTTCGGTCCGTCTGCTTGTTCTGCTCCCCGCTCTGTCTCTGGTGAATCCTCTCACCCTCCCACACCTCTGGCCTGTACCCCAGCTATTGTATAAATTAAATAAATAAATAATCTTAAAAAAAAGATTTGAACTTGTTTTTCTCAAGAAAATCAGATCTGAACTTGACAATTATCCATAAGTAGATAGGAGCAGCCAAACTCATTTCTATTTTAATGCAGAAGGTATTACATAATTTCTGAGATAAACTTGCCTCATTAATTGTGTTTGTTTACATTGACTGTGAAATGCGTGTGGTTTGCATTCCTCAGCATGTGTGGATTGATTTTCAGAGGTGTTCAGAAGTGAGACAGGAATGCATATGGTTTTAATAATGGCTACAGATACCCTACAAAGTACGTAATCTACATAAGGATAATAAAAGCCCTTTTAGTTCACTCAGTTATCTGGTTAGATAAACATAAACTCTAGCCAGGCTTCCCCTGTCCACTTAGGACCCGTAGATGGGGCCTCCGTCCAGGCCAGTGGGTATAAGCTCCAAGAATATATACTCATTGTTATTCCAGGTAAAACATTGTTTACAGTCAGTGAATCGTTAAACCCAGTAAAGGTCACTCACACTGTTAACATTTTTTGACAAGATGTTCTTACACAAGACCCACAAAGCTAGTCAGACAAGAATTCAGGCTGTGTGAGTTAAGGACAATTATGAACTTTCAGAACCAAAGTTTTCAGCTGTCTCTGTCCCTCCTGCCTTCATTTTGGTCCTCTCTACTTTCTTTCATCCAGGCCTGAAATAATTCCCACCAGGAGCTAAGTCCAGACTCCAACCCTTTTAGGACACGACAAGTTGGTTTCCCAAGAGAAAGGTCTTCTGCTAATTTATTTATGTCAAAAATAAAAAAAAATTAAAAAATGAGGACATACCTTCTCCCAACTTTAATTCAACTTCAGATTATCCACAAAGTCTGAAAATCTGTATGTAGTCATATACACTTGGAGCTGAAGTCAGCTCCTGGGAATGCACATTTTAGATGGGAAATGGTGTCCCATGGAAAACAAGGGATTTGCCAAGCCACACATTGTGACTTCATGGCCAAGTGTGGACAAGAACCCTGGCTACCTTGAGTCAAGGCCTTAAGAGTTTCATGGAAACCCTGACCAAACAATGAAATGAATTTAAATCACCTTCAGAAAACGTATTTCAGTGTTAACCCCAAGGTGATTAGCTCGAGAACTCTGATTTGCATTTCTTTTTTTTTTAATTTAAATTTTATTTTTTATATTCCCCATACAATTACAACCCCCTTACTTTGACCCCAAGCCCTCCTTTCCCCACCCCCACCCGCCATAGAGTGTCTCTGGTTCATAGCTGTTTGTCGATTTTGATATTTTCTTTCTTATAGTTATTCTTTTTCCTGGTCCCTTATTTAAGTTTTCACTGCTATGAGTGAGACCATCCGGTATTTTTCTTTTTCTTTCTGGCTTATTTTGCTGACAGAAACATCAATTCCAAAGAGCACCTGCACCCCTATGTTTAGCAGCACTATTTACAATAGCTAAGCTTTGGAAACAACCCAAATGCCCAAAAATAGATGACTGGATCAAGAAGATGTGGTACATATACACCATGGAATATTACTCAACATTCAAAAAAGATACACATGCAATTTGCAGCAACATGGATGGCGCTGGAAGGGATCATGCATTTCTTTTTTTTAAAGATTTATTTATTTATGCATACAAGAGCTGGGGCACAGGCCAGAGGTGCGGGGTGGGGGTGTGTGAGAGGATTTACCAGAGACAGAGTGGGGAGCAGAACAGGCAGAGCGACTGAAATACACTGCTGAGGGGAGCAGCGGGCAAGACCAAGAGGTTTGCTGCATCATGTGGGTATCTCCCTGGCTGGAGATGGAACTCGTGCTGCAGAGGCCACGGATTGTTTCATAGCGCTGTGCTCAACGCCTTGCGCCACCAGGAAGGCCCCCTGATTTGCATTTCTTTAGTGCAAATCTTCTATAGCGCAACTAGAAGACTATTATAAACAATTGACAATATTTCCAACTTTCTCTCCTAATTGTGAACATCTATTTATCTGGATGACTTCATCTCTTATTTTTCCAGTATATTTAAACTGAGTGTGTGAATCTTTGCAAAAGCAATATTTCTTCGGCTATTTTTCTGGGCCCTGTTAACCATCCTGCTGTGAGAACTGTTGGGGCTAGAATATGATAATAAGGAATGAAACTCTTCTGCTGGTAATATGGTTTCCATTAGCACATAGTCTATATTTATAGATGAAAACTTTATTAGTTGAGTTACTATTGTATGATCAAAAATACTTCACATTTGCAAAAAGAAAAACACTTTAGAGTAAGGTCAGTTTGACAAAAGTGTGATATTTGCAGAGAGAGCCAAGGCTTATCCATTTAAAAGGCCAAGTTAAATAAGACACAATTAGATCTCATTTGGCCTCCTACCTCTCAGGATTCATAAACTCACATTTCAGCAACCTTGGGGGAACAAGTTTCGCCTTAATTGTATCTTGTTTCCCTTGGCCCATCCACATTCCCCGGAATCTTCTGACAGGCGCTTTCAGCAAATATCACACTTCCTTGCGTCTCCCTGACCTTTTTTTCAAACTGGCTTTTCCTTTTCCTTATTAAATGTTTTTGAACAGAGATCATATTTTATTTTGTTTAGAACGATAAAATAAAGGGTGAGAATTTATTCATCTGCATGGCCTCGAGAAGAAAATAGACATCAACAGCAGAATTTTTAGAAAAACATCCTCCCAATCAGTTCTGAAGATGCACACTCTTCTACCAAGAATGTGCTAAGTCCATGGTCTCACCCCAGAAGGCGGGATCACAGAGAGGAAAAAATTCACAGAGAGAGAGAGATTTAAAGTGCCAAGACATTGCACCTTATAAAAATTTAGGGCCAAAGTTTAAATTTCAAAGATGTAAACTGTAAGCTGACTTATTACAGTTTTACCCCCATAGCCTTGGCTTCGCTTTCTGTGGTTTTTGTTACCCCCAGTCAACAGCAGTCTGAAAATATGATGTACAAGAAATTATTACGAGAGACAGTCCATTGTTTTGGTTCCATTTTGAGTATAAGATCCTTCCCTTACTAGTGAGTAGAGCTACTAGCAGATTAGATTCACTACTTCTCCTATATGTCTCAGTTTCACCAAATAAAGATCTTTGTCATGCAAAGGGAAGGTGAAGAAAGGTATAGAATAGCCATTGTATAAAGTCTGGCTTGTAATTGGCCCATAATTATACCCTCTTGTAACACTAATCCTTTTCCTTTGAATTTTTTTTCTATTTGACTCCTTATTGCACTCCCTCCAGAAGCTACTTCTGATACTTTGACAGACCTCAGGTTCCCATTCCTACTCCTCACACTGAGTCAGTCTCAGATTAGCTTCTGGGTGCTCCAACCAGACCTTTCCTTCCGCTGCCCCACAGGGACAGGCTACCCCCCCTTACTTAGCCTCGCCTCTTTACTGGGGTCTTGTGCCTTGTCCTGTTTTTCCATTCGCCTCTGATTCCCTGTGTCATCCGTGTGTTAGTGATTGCATAAATGATTATTAAAGGTTACATTTTCCTCCCACTCTGCCGATTCTGACTGCTCTCTAGAGCTGTTCGTTGTTCAGATGCCCTCGGTCTACCTTCTCCTGTCGGGTTCTGTTCTCCACCCTGTGCAGCAGCACCACAGGATTTGGGAGCCTGGCAGCCTCTTCCACTGACTGGCCGGGTGTTGTCCTCAGGAAAAAAGCTTGAGCTGTTTGAACCTCTGACTCTTTATCTAGAAAGAGTTATTTTGAAGGTTAAATGAATGCTTCGTGCATAATAAGCGCTCAACAGATATGAAGTGTTTAAACTCTCACCCCTGGGTATACCCCTAAACTTTTAGCCGCTCTTCCTCCCTCCCTAGACTACCAGAGACTTGACATTTCTTTTTCTTTGAAAATTATTTTTATTGAGGTGCCATTGGTTGACGCCGTGTTTATGATTTAGGAGTACAGGTTCACACCTCTTGAGATGCATGCCACCATACCCACCCACCACCGAAATACCCATAATCCTCTGCCCCTTCCGCCTTTACACGCCACTCCTGACCTTCCCCTCTCCTAGGCTCAATTCTGCAGTCAGATTTCTAGGTCTGTTTTGGTTTAGTTTAATCTTCTCCCTTGTTTCTTTATATTCCACATGAGTAAAATCATCCGGAATGTCTTCTTCCTTCTGACTTTTGAAATTTATTTCTTAAAGATATTAATGGCCTCCTAATCTCCAAAGAAATGCTGGGTTTTTGTTTTTGTTTTTATTTTCCTCATTCTCCTTAAAATTTGTGCAGCCAGGACCCCTCCTACTGGTATAGCCCTGTCCTTGGGATAAGGGAGAAATTAACTAATCACTTTTTCCTGAGATTGTCACGTTTCCAGGCAGGAGACTTGAGATGAGCATTGCTACAGCTGGCAGGAAAGAAGGGTCAGTGTCAGGAAGGAACTAGGGACAGACACCCTAATCTTTGGCCCTTCATTCAAAGGTCTTGACTAAAAGGCTGTGTGACTCTCCACTACCTTGCCGGGGTTGGGTTTCCAGAGTTGAGACGAGTGGGTGATCTAGACAGAGAGGCAAGACGGTGCCCCAGCCCTTTGGAACAAGTCACCCACCGAGGATGAATCTCAAGAAGCAGTAGAGTAGAAATGAGCCATGGCCGGCAGACATAGCCCCCCACAGAGCTTCCTGATGGCTCAAGGTCACAGTGAAGCAATGGGGAGTTTTCCAGGCTCACCATTTCCTCCCCTCAGAGAGATAAGGATGTCCTTAGCAAAGACCAGTAGAGTCAAAGGGGTCTCATGATTGTGTTAAAAGGACTCAGCTCTGAAGGCAGCGTGGCCCATGAGACTGGAAACCCAGTGGGATCACCAGCATCTCAGAGAACTCTCTGAGAATAGAACCTGGCAACTAAAGCTTTAACCACAGCACCAGCCAAAATCTACCAGGCCAGCCCTACGTGCCTGCCAGTGCTCTGTAAATGAGTACCTCACAAAGGGGAAAGAGAGAGAGGGAATGACACCTCCCCCACCCCCAGGGGTCAACTCCTTAGGACAGAGATGTCCCTGAGCTTTTTCATTCACCTTAATACTGTATACACTCCGAGGAACAAATTTTTGTTGAATTGAGTTCATGAATTACCTTGTTTCCCTTTGTGCTAAATTGAGTTGACACGATATTCACCCCCATCTTTGTTTTAAGTCTCATCTTAGTGATACTTTAAAAATAAATCATTGTTCTATATAGATGAAGAAAGACTGAATGTTCAGTAAGAATTTTAAATTAACTCAAACCACTAGAGGGAGTGTGTACAGATGTAGTGGAATTGGATAAAAATTGCTTTCTGAGGTTTAGTTGGCAAATCTTTTGACCAGGCATTATCCTTTCTCTGTTAAAAAAGAAAATGTAAACACATAAAGTAGAGAGAGGGTGTGTAGTGTATTTACATCATTATCTCTTGTCACACAAAAGCAAAAGTTCAAGCACTAGTTCATGTGGGCATTGTGAACTTTCTAAAAACTTAAACTCATGAATTTGCTACAGTTCTGGTATTTAGGCTTAAAGAGCAACTTAATATGGTTAGGTCAATGCCCAATCTTGATGCTATCTTTTAGAACTATTTGATCAAAATTCATATATTTAATAGATCCCATTTCTCATTTAAAAATAAAAGGAAGTTTTGTGATCATCATTTTAGAGTTGAAGGGGGGAAATCCAGTCTTAGCCCAATTATCCAAGTTAAATATACCCACACTGAAAATTTTGGGTTTAAATGGACAGAAACACTTTCACAATCAGAAGGAACATTTTTCAGTAGATTCCTGTAAGATGCCAAGTCACAAGGTTGTCTTAGGACTTAGTATATCCAAAGAAATACAAAATAAAATAATAACCCCCCAAAAAAGCTTGGGATTTTTTTTTTTAATAAGCATCTACAGTATTGGCAAACATAAATGGGAATGGTTTTTTCAT